TTTTTCCCGCGCGCTCAAAATGGCGGCCCCCTTCGCCAAGCGCGTTCTCGCAATATCTCACGCGCACTCAAAATGGCGGCCCCTTGCGCAAAGCGCATCGTCGCCATACCCCGCGTGCGCGCAAAATGGCGGCCCAACGTGCGAACACGTGGGCAGTTTTCCCCGTGCGTGCACCCCAGCTGCCCTTTGCTGGGGGTCACAAGACGCATCCCCCGTCACGTTGTAACAACCCCACCAACGATAGACGCACAGCCCCAGCTTGCTGCGCACAGCAGTCATATCGGGGAAATTTTAACCAATATTTTACCAAAACACATTGGTTACACACCAACCCGCAAAGCAACTCCTGGCTGCATGCAATCAACCGAATGAGCGACGCCACTTGGCGCCAATTTACGGCCCCATCACCATTAACATCTGAGCCACCCACAACGGCGTCATCGCGCACCCTCATTTTCAAAAAGCTCAATTACCTATAATATACACGCAATCTCGTGTGCATAAACACCCATACAACCAAATTTTTGGGTCCCCCTCGAATTTGTTACCAATCTCCAACAGGTACGCACAATTAATAACAATCCCAACCCCAATAGTCAACCAATGCATCGCACCCCATAACCGTACAGAACGGTGTAACAGCACATGCAGTCAGCATATCGCGATCACACGCGTACATTTAAGCACAATAGCAAGCAGATCTGCAGGCAACCAACACACCATTAATCCTGTCGTAACTTTGCAGCAACAACACAAATATTCTCTCTTGCAAACAACCACATCGCACACAGCACCTCGCAGCACAATACACCAAAAAAAAAAATTTTTCAATTAAGCCCGTCACACACGGTAACCCACGAGATGGTACAGCGCAGGATACCCGACGCTCCCAAGTTAATAATTAACTTCGCCATCAAGATAACAACTCCACGCCGCAGCGCACACACACTATTTGACACTCAGCAAGCACAGCAGACTCTCCGTCCATCCTCAACACACACATATACACACTAATTGACACCGAGCAACAAGCAAATAGCGCATTCATCCAGAACACACACACACACACAGCCCGAACCGCGCTCCGCACGCTCGAGACATGACAAAAATCGCCCCCCCCCGGCACACGCTAGATGGGTGAGGTGTGTGTGTTAAGGCCGGTTGCGTATCGTTACGACTCGCCCGGGGCTGCAGCAAACAGAGGACGGCAGGGTGGTAACTTGAGACGCCTCGCAGAACTCGAACGATGACTTGACTGCTCCGTTGTCTCGCACCCGAGCCAGGACGGGAGAGCTCCCGCCCCAGCAGCTGCAGCGTCGGCGTCCTCTCCTCGCAGCTCCTCCTCGCAAAACAGCAGCTCACAGCAGGCTGCTCACTCCGCGGCACCTCCAGATGGCAGCGCAAGGCCGCCTCTCCGCCGCGATGTTGAAGATGGCGGCGTCTTCCCGTCGCGGTGAAGGCAAGATGGCGGCTTCCCGCCGTTTCTCCCCTGCCACGCCCAAGATGGCGTCTTCGTGCCGCGTGGCAGATGGCGCTGGCAGCGCAAGCAAGGCGGAGGCCTGCGGATCACCACCGGGCCTCCCCGACGCCGTCCTCGGCGTGGTGAGCTCACACAGTTGCGCCAGCACGATTTTCAAGGTCTCCAGCTGCGCCGCCATCTGTCTCGATCGTAAGTCGGCGTCCTCCGGCACAGACGGGTCCACCGACGCGGCGACATCTTGCACCCCCGGACCCGTACTCGTTCCAGCACGGATCTCCTCTTCCATCGCAGGCAGGGCCACCGCCTGAGGAAGGTCGTCGTCGTCGGATGATGTAGCAGATGATGGCGCAGGAATATTCTTTCTTCTGAGCTGTTTTGACATGCCGTTTCACTTCTGACACCAGTGTAATAAAGGACTCGATCACTGGGTCTGTCTCCGTTGTCCTTTATTTGGGTTCTTTACACTTGTCCCACAAGGCCCTCGCTCAGAGCCTCCCCGCTTGGCAGCTCCACAGCTGCCTTCGCTCCCGTAGCCTTCCGCGCTCCTGCAGCTCCGCTGCAGGTCCCTGGTGCAGCCCTCCGGCTGCTCTCACTGCAGCTCCACCGCTGCTCCCCGTTCCTCCGTGCTCGGTCACCGCTGGCTGGCAGTGCCGAGTCTTACCGTGTGTGGCGATCTCGCCACTCCCCAACCTCAGCCCTGCGTGGCCTCTGTGGCGATCTCGCCACTCTCCAACCTCAGCCCTGCGTGGCCTCTGTGGCGATTTCGCCACTCTCTGTCTCTATCCCCAACTCTCTCTTCCACCCCGCTGGCTGGCGCCGTCATGAGTCCCTCAGCCACAAGGCTGAGGCACGGCGACCACCCAACGTGGTCTCCACTCTTCACTCTCCCCGACTCCTCGATGTCTTCCTGTTCCCCCGCTATAACTTCTCCCCCCACGTGACCCTGACTCCTCCCTCTCGGATCGTCACATCCGACCCGCCCATTTACGCCCGCATTACACTTGTTTACCCTGAAAATGTGAGTCTCATGACTCCTGTTCAAGAGCGTACTGCATCATTCATAGACGATTGCTATGTATATTCCGAATTATATATTTGGTAATATTCACATTTGGTAAATTTTGACCTTGACACCATGGCCTACTCTTGCGAATGACATCACAGGATCTGGAATATTCATTGTAAAGCAGGTGGCGCATTTTTACAGTTAATACACCCGCTGTAATTACCAGGATGGCCGCTAGATTTGAACATTGAATCACTTGTAACTATCGGTGAATGCACTATTGCTAAACCACGTCACCCCTGTGACTATGGAGTGATGTGGTAAATAGAAAAGTGATAACATCGCAACACAGTACTACAATACTTATCACATGTGAAAATAACACGTAGGTTTTGCAGGCAATATTGTGATTCATAAGAGTTTTATTTTGTTAGGGCATGTGTAATGGGTTCAATTGAGGTGCACACTTGAACTTGGAGGCAACACGTTTTATTAACTAATATCACGGTAACGCGAGCAGAATAACGACCTAGGGTGGTAACCACCGCTCCTATACTAACTATATACACTTGGGGGAAAGGTGACTATTACACGCTGGATGGGACAATTACTAAATCGGACTAGGAGAGCCAACACGCTGCCTGGTCCACGTGCGCGAAGACCGGAGACCGAAGACCCACGAAGACGGAGGTTTCTTCCCAGAGATGAACAACCACAATCCCCACCAGAAACTCGTCTTTTATCCGCTGCGGGGTGGTCAGTCCCCGCCCTTGGCCACGCCCCTTTTCCAGATCCTTCCCGGTGGTTCAGGACCCACATCACGCATTCCTCTCACTTCCTCCCTGGTCCTTGTTACCACCTCATCCGGTCACGTGCCCCCCCTTGGGTTCACCCAGGCTGTCATGAACTCACCCGACCTCTTCCCTGGTAACCAAATTTGTCGACACAACCAAATTAAATTTTCACGAGCATTTAATGCGCCATCTATTATTGATTCAGCTCACTGGTAATTTGAAGAACAATTCAAACATGTTTATTATTTCAGGTTTCTTCTGCATTGCCAGAAGTCCACGTGTGTATAAAACACCTTATGACTAGCGTCACTTGCATTGATATAACACATGTATACTGTAGTCATTGTTGGGGATTATTTTTTAAATAATGCATAACCTGGAAAAAATAACTTTTTTGGGTAACCTCAGTATTATGCTAGAATTTTTTCCTTTTTCTTGAAGTTACTTGTTACAAGTAATTTTAATATCAAATGAGATGCCCAAATGGAGAAGCGGAAATACACAGGCAAATACGTGTGAATGCACACACATACACACAGATCGAAGATGCACACCTTGATCTATCTACTTTTGGTTAAAAACCTCCCTATAAGCCGGTCATCTTTCATGGTCTCGTGATGCAAGTCCATCCAGCTTCTGTGTTTGAACATCTTAACACCTGTAAAATTAGTAGAAAGGGTAAAAGCTTTTATTTTTTTATCAGGTTGCTTGGTATTTATATTCCTGCGATTCCCTGATCCGTGTCGCATTGGATCGTGCTTAGAATGTAAGCAGAGTTAGATTGATGACCCTAAGACTCACTACACACTTACTGTGGTTTATTATTATCCTGGAACTCTGGATTGCTGTTATCCTGGGGCTCACTGGTCACTGATACTCTGGATGACTGTCACACTGGAAAGTTGATACTGGTAGGACCCTCCTGGTTACACCAGCCCACAGGAGATTATTGTGTCTGTCCGTCGTGCAGGGAGGGGCTGGGTGGGGAGGAAGGGGCTGGGTGGGGAGGGGAGGGTGGGGCTGGTTGGGGAGGGGCTCGGTGGGGGGTGGGGCTGGGTGGGGAGGGACTTGTCACCCCGTGGTGCCCTTATAAAACTCAACGTTTAACCTACTCACGCCGGCTTGTGCCCGCCCTCACAGTCGGGCATATTTGCAGAATACACCACGCTGCCGTTGAACCTGGCCATTGATTGAGCAACCCAACGTTCCTACCAGCTCCCTCCGCAGGAATGTGTTTTAGACTGGGCATTCTAAGGCTCAATGATCAGTCCTCTGTTACACCTGTATCTCTAATACACAAAACGCTATTTCCCTGTGTCTCTGTGTGTCTCCCTGTGTCTATAGGGGTCTCCCTGTGTGTCTCCGTGTCTCACTCACTTTTCTTCTGTCTCTGTTTCGGTGTATCTCATATTGTGTCTGCCTCACTTTGTGTTTCTGTGTCTCACTGTCCTCTGTCTCACTCTGTCCCTGTGTCTATCTCTCACAGTTTATTTCCCTGGGTTTCTGTCTCATTTGTTCCACGTGTTTGTTTGCCTTCATCCAGCAGTGTAAACATTCTAAATAAAGGAAAAAGCACCACTCTGATGTACATAAAAAAATATTATCTCCTAATACCTAAATCCCTCCCCCTCTCTAGGTTTAAGCAAAATAGAGATAAAATACTCCCACAGTGTCTGATAAACGGAGTAATAATAACCAATCAAGTCAAAACTTTTGGATACATTCAGAAAAGAGTTTATTGGTTTACATGTGTCATGTAGACAGGTCAAAATAACATTTGGGGAAAAAGTATTGACCATATTAGTGCTGGCTTAAGCGAGTGACACAGATCACATCTAGATGTCCTTGAGCACTTCCTGTGCCCCGTCACTCTCCTTCCAGTGGGGTGGCCAGGAGGCCTGCACGCTGGGACGCTCCTTCACCAGGCTGTAGTAGGCACTCAGGTGAGGGTACTTGTCAACAGACAACCTAAACGTGCGTACGCACAGATACACGTTAGTGTGTGTGATAATGGTAAGAGTGCATCACCGATATTCAATATGCCGGTAGCCTTGCTTGCGCACAGCACAGCTGGCGGTAGGGCCTCCACTACAGGGAGACCTAACTATTCCACACGAGTCAGATGTCTTAGGAAGAGGTGGGAGTACCCACACTTTATCCCACCAAACATGACTGTCGATCAACTGTGATGAACCCCATTCTACTACTGGCTGGACAGAGATTTAAGAAACGTGCTCATTGTTGCACTTGTTGCATCGGGAGATGGAACCAGTGATCTCTGGATTTCAAATACAGTTTGCTAACCATTACATCGCTATATTCTTTTCACAATTTTACAAAAACCATGGCCCAGGAATGTAAAAGCTAAAGCCTTATAAACTGGCTCATCAACTCTTCAGTCATCAAAATATGCAAAGCTTCAGTTTTTCTTGGTTCTGGTAAACATGGATTAGGATTGTAATTGCAACTTGACGTATTTTCTCATTGTGTTATTTGTAGTGTAAATACCCATGATGTGTACCTAGTGTAACCACTCACACAGACTCACCCAAATCTGAAGCAGAATGCCAGGTTAGGGAAGAAGACGACATCAGCCAAGGTGAAGTTCTTCCCAGCGATGTAGGATCCGGAGCCCAACTGTAAGTTACATCAGCAATGAGGTTTATCGAAAAGGGCTGCTCCAATAATTCCCAAATAAGGATTTAAGGAATCTGTGGTCATTCATATTTTGTTTTTTTTAACCTTAACTTTGTGTCTGTGATACCTCTCCTAAAGAGGAATCTAAATATTAGTCAGCAACGAGTCCAGTAAAAAAACTGAAAATAAATAGGAAATGTTTATATTCTAACAATGTTACAGCTGGCAACAAAACAAATATTAATAACTAGCGGGAAGTACCTAGCGTTGCCCGGGGGAAAAATACATTTAAAAACTTGCAAGTAACAAGCTATTGTGAAAGCCCGGCGTTCCGTTTGTCTGTCCATTTGTCCGTCAACAAAATTATAAGAGGCTTGAAGAAGTTCTGAATCAAAAAGTGGCAGGAAAATAGTTGATTTAAAAGGTTTTCGAAAATTGTCGACCTCCACCCTCCCCCTCAAAAATATATTTACCCCCCCGGAGGCATATATACCTACACACCCTACATACAATAGAGTGAGTAGTGTCTCGTAACTCGATAGTAGTATCTGCCTCTACAGTAGTATCTACTGACTCTATAGTAGTAACTACTAACTCTATAGCAGTATCTACTGACTATCGTAGTATCTGCTCTAGTAGTATCTACCGACTTTATAGTAGTATCAACCTACTCTATAGTAGTAAATACTGACTCGACAGTAGTATCTAATGACTATAGTAGTATCTACTGAATCTATAATATACTGTATATTGACTCTATAGTAGTATCCACTCACTACATTATTAACTACTAACTCTATAGCAGTAACTACTAACTCTATAGTAGTATCCGCAGACTCTATGGTAGTATCCGCAGACTCTATAGCAGTATCTACTGACTATAATAGGATATATCGACTCTATAGCAGTATCTACTGACTATAGTGGTATCTATTTGTAGAGCGATGACGTCATGTCTCCTCGAGGTACTTAAGGGGGATCCCCGTGACGAAAGCGGGGTCACTGTGGGAGCCCGGGATAGAAAACGGTCGAAGAGCCTGCCAGGAGTAGAGCTCAAGGAGTCTGGAGAGAAGCCGGCGGTAGTCATAGAAGGTGCTACTCTCCCCGGTCGGTCGGTGTTGGCTGAACCCCCGATTCAACTCGAGGGAGCTCGCCAAGCTAAGAACAGATCGAGTGAAGGGTCGTGTGAAGGGCCCAGTATAGGATCCCTACCCCTGGGGAAGTTATCTAAACCCTTAATAAATAACCAGCGCAAGCCCTTACCTGAAGACCTGCCTCCGTATCATCATTTGCACCTCAACATATTGACTGTAATATTACCTACTGACTCTATAGTAGTATCTACCGACTCTACGGTACTATCTACTGACTCTATAGTAGTATCTACTGACTCTATAGTAGTAACTACCAACTATAGTAGTATACACTGACTACAGTAGTAACTACTAACACTACAGTAGTATATACTGCCTTTATAGTAGTGTAATAAAGGACTCTGACGACACACAGCTTGGTCTATACTAACTCTATAGCAGTGTGTACTGGCTGTAATAATAGCTATACTAACTCTATAGCAGTGTGTACTAGCTGTAGTAGTAGCTATACTAACTCTATAGCAGTGTGTACTGGCTATAGTAGTAGCTGTACTAACTCTATAGCAGTGTGTACTGGCCATAGTAGGAGCTATACTAACTCTATAGCAGTGTGTGCTGGCTGTAGTAGTAGCTATACTCACTCTATAGCAGTGTGTGCTGACTGCAGTAGTAGCTATACTATATCTATAGCAGTGTGTACTGGCCGTAGTAGTAGCTATACTAATTCTATAGCAGTGTGTGCTGGCTGTAGTAGTAGCTATACTCACTCTATAGCAGTGTGTGCCGACTGCAGTAGTAGCTATACTATATATATAGCAGTGTGTACTGGCTGTAGTATTAGCTATACTAACTCTATAATAGTAATCTTTGGTTCTTTCTGTAAAGTAACGTAGATAGAAAAATATTTTTTTTAAAGTGATAAAAAACATAGAAATAATACAAAAAACATTCATGTACACTGTAGCCTGGTTTTTAATTGGAATGAGTGTACTGGCAGTCTATAATGTAGACTGTAGCATGGTTATTAAGTTTGGTGAGTGTACTGGCAGTCTATAATGTAGACTATAGCAATGGTTATTAAGAACCAAGAATAAGTCTACATTATAGACTGCCAATACGCTCACCAAGCTTAAAAACCAGGCTACAGTCTACATTATAGACTGCCAGTACATTCACTCCGAATCAGAACCAGAAGAACCAGGCAACAGTCTATGTTAGTGGTTTGATTTAATATTGTTTTTTTACTTTATTTTTTTTACCATCGACATGACTTTACCAAATTAACCAAATAACATGAATTCCTGCAGTCACGAAAGTTTGAAGTGAAATTCTATAATAGTACTCACTTCAAAGAGTGTAGTAGTAAGGCCTAGTCCCGTGCAGAGCCCCTGGCCTTGCCTAGATTGTCCAGCCAGCCGAGGTGGCACCTTGGCAGGCTGGGGCTGGGCTGCTACCCCCCCCCCCCCCACTACCCACGATCCCCCCACCCGCTCAGCAATAGTATCTACGGCCTATAGTAGTAACATCTACCGACGCTATAGTAGTAAATGCACACATTGGGGTGGGGGGGGGGGAGGACATAAAACTGTGAAGAATTTACCTCAGCGTTTTGTGTATTTTTATTGCATTTTTTACGCGAATGAGAATTTTTCCCCAATTCCACCGATCACGCGTGTGCTTTGCTAGGTGCAACCACGGCATTGTCGCACATTTGCAAATGCGTGCTGTGGCGCTCGCAGAGTGGCATAAGGAAATAAATAAGTAATAAATAGCACTAAATTGTTAATTTAACTACTTTAAAGTTGACGGATGGGAAAATGGAAGAGCTCACCATGGGGCTTATGGCGTGGTACCTGGCTAATTTTTTAAAATGTAAACCCTACGGTTTGTAAGCCAAATCCTTCGCAAGTTTCGTACACAGACAGAGAGACACACAGAGAGACAGACAGGCAAAAAATGACGTTTATAGATAAGACTAGCGGGAAGTACCCGGCGTTGCCCGGGCCAATTTTTTTTTTCAAAACTTCTCTTAAAAACCTTACATATATATACACAGATACTAAGCTATTGTGAAAGCCCGGTGGGCCGTTTGTCCATTTTTCCACCAACAAAATTATAAGTGGCTTGCAAAAGTCCAAAAAGTAATATAAAAGGTTTCCGAAAATTGTCGACCCCCCTCAAAAAATATATTTACCCCCACGTAGGTATATACACCTATACACCATACATACAACAGAGTAAGTAGTATATATTGACTCTATAGTTGTATCTACTCAATGTACAGTAGTATCTACTGAGCCAGCGGTAGCTACTGACTGTATAGTAGTATGAACTGACTGTAGTAATTACTGACAGCAGTAGTATCTACTGGCCCTACAGTATTATCTACCAACTCTATAATAGTAACTCCTAACTGTATAGTCGTATCTGCTGACTCTATAGTAGAATCCTCTGACTATAGTAGTCACTACTAACTCTATAGGAGTTTCTACTGACTCTAGAGTAGTATCTACTGACTCTATAGCAGTAGCTACTGACCGTAGTAGTATCTAATGACTGTAGCAGTATTTACTGTGCGTAGCGGTATATACTGACTGTTATAGTATCTACTAACTCTATAGTAGTATCTACCAACTCGATAGCAGTATCCACTATCACAACAGCAGTGCATACCGACTGTGGTGGTAGCTGCTATCACTACAGCAGTGCATATCGACTGTGGTGGTACTTACTTTAACGACAGCAGTGCATACTGATTGTGGTGGTATCCTGCTATGACTACAGCAGTGCATACCAACTGTGGAGGTACCTGCTATCACAACAGCAGTGCATATCGACTGGTGGTACTTGCTATCACTACAGCAGTGCATACTGACTGTGGTGGTACCTGCTATCACAACAGTGCATACCGACTGTGGTGGTACCTGCTATCACTACAGCAGTGCATATCGACTGTGGTGGTACCTACTTTAACGACAGCAGTGCATACTGATTGTGGTGGTATCCTGCTATGACTACAGGAGTGCATATCAACTGTGGAGGTACCTGCTATCACAACAGCAGTGCATACCGACTGGTGGTACCTGCTATCACTACAGCAGTGCATATCGACTGTGGTGGTACCTACTTTAACGACAGCAGTGCATACTGATTGTGGTGGTATCCTGCTATGACTACAGCAGTGCATACCAACTGTGGAGGTACCTGCTATCACTACAGCAGTGCATACTGACTGTGGTGGTACCTGCTATCACAACAGTGCATACCGACTGTGGTGGTACCTGCTTTCACTACAGCAGTGCATACCGACTGTGGTGGTACCTGCTTTCACTACAACAGTGCATACCGACTGTGGTGGTATCTGCTATGACTACAGCAGCGCATACTGACTGTGGTGGTTCCTGCTATCACTACAGCAGTGCATACCGACTTTGGTGGTGACCTGCTATCACTACAGCAGTGTATATCGACTGTGGTGGTACCTGCTTTCACTACAACAGTGCATACAAACTGTGGAGGTACCTGCTATCACAACAGCAGTGCATACCGACTGTGGTGGTACTTTCTATTACAACAGTGCATACCGACTGTGGTGGTGACCTGCTATCACTACAGCAGTGCATACCGACTGTGGTGGTACCTGCTTTCACTACAGCAGTGCATACCGACTGTGATGGTACCTGCTTTGATCACAGCAGTGCATACCGACTGTGGTGGTACCTGCTTTCACTACAGCAGTGCATACCGACTGTGATGGTACCTTCTATGACTACAGCAGTGCATACCGACTTTGGTGGTACCTGATTTCACTACAGCAGTGCATACCGACTGTGTTGGTACCTGCTTTCACTACAACAGTGCATACCGACTCTGGTGGTACCTGCTTTCACTACAGCAGTGCATACT